TGATTACAGAAAACTTAATGTTTGCCTTGCGAGATACTTTCTTCAGTGATGTAAATAGTTCTTTCTTTCCTACCGGTATCTTTCTAATTTTTACACTTCCTATACAGTTCACAGTTAATATCATGAAAAAACTGGTCAAACAACCATTAAAAACCAAGGAGAACTGAAGAACTACTTCTTCAGTGTATATACACACGATAATGCCACCAAGGGTTGAGCACAATCCTTAGCCACCTGAACTAACATCTCACTATTTGTGTTGTTGATTCCTATCCACTCTTTGTATCGAGATTTTACAGTTTCTTAGTAACATCAGGAAATAATTGTATAATTGTTTACCTTTTTTTAAAAAACTGTACATACCAAGAGTACCAAGAAAATACGTAAATTCTAATAGAGTTAACATGTTACCAAATAGAAAACTATCACTTCTTCTATAGAGGATGATGTTATTTAATGAAGAGAATTCAAAATATCAGTGAACATTTATTTGTTGTAATTTTCGCATTAATATTAGGATCAGTCTCCTTGGCGTGTGTGCATCCTGTGCAAATTGCCTCAGCATGACAGCTGGATATCGATTCTGGGATGCGGTTACATCCACCCTGAGCGATAGTAACACCACCGAGGAGCTCGTTCAACTCTTCGTCGTTTCGGATGGCCAATTGAAGGTGGCGTGGGATGATACGGGACTTCTTGTTGTCACGAGCGGCGTTGCCAGCCAACTCAAGAACTTCAGCCGCCAGGTATTCAAGAACAGCTGCCAGGTAAACAGGGGCACCAGCACCGACGCGTTCAGCATAATTACCCTTGCGAAGCAAACGATGAACACGAACAACCGTGAACTGGAGACCAGCACGGGCTGACCTGGTTTACGCCTTGGTGCGAGACTTTCCACCTTTACCGCGTCCACCCATTTTCAGTTAGAGCAGAGAAACGTGTCAAGTAGAATAAGATGAATTCCACTGCTAGCCACTATCCATCTTTCTTAATAATATAAGTAAAACTATTTGAATTAGAAATGCAGTCTAGAAAATAATAAAATTTCTGAAAACGTAGAAACCTACGAACTTAAAACCTGATAGTTTTGACAAAACGTCAAGAGATGTTTGCATGTGATACTAGTTTTTATTAAAATTGATAATTTACATTATATCTGTCAGATTTTTCGTTTTGCAAGCCCAATGTCACCATATAAAAACAAGTAAATTGCTTTAAACTCTATTCATCAAAAATTTTTCATGCTAGCCGCTATTTCTTTCCAACAGAATCTAGAGTATAGTCCACCTAAATAAATTTTTAAACAGTTCATATTACAGAGTTTGTAAAAAATAGTCTGAAATATTTAAACAACTTCATAAATTTTCATTAAGTATATCTCACTATTGTCCTCTCAAATAAAAATGAAATGCCTTGTCGATAATTAGAGAAGATTGATGAATTAGAAAAAAACCAGAAAAATTCATAAATGTTTTTTAAATTTTTTACCATACTACAACTTATCAAACATTTCCTTGCTAGATAATTTTGATGAGCAGCTATTAACAAGACGAAATACTCTGACGCAAGTATGCCAACAACTAAATTTTTCTACTTATCCGATAATTACACCGACAACAGAATATGACACCTTTCTCATTCATTCACTTCAACTTGCAGCATGTTACATTGATAGATGTTCCGGAGAAAGTTCATATTCATAGTGATAATTTCCTGACAGATTATTTGAGTAAGAGAGTTATTGTATTTTTATACAGCTCAGCATTAGTTCACATATGCCATAAAAAAATTAATATTATTAGGTCATTTCCTAGTAGCGTGCCCTTTTAAAAATCATATTTTTATAACGAAAATAATCATAATTATCTAAACGACAAACATAAGTGAGATAATATTACAATACGAGACATTCTTTCTTTAAGAAAACATGTCAGGTCTTTTTAGGCTAGTCGTATATTTATAAAATCATCTGCCATCTCACTTATATGGACATATTTGACTATTGTATCTATCTCCACCCTGATCAATATTTTCCCGACAGTTTACACGGCATTCGGCATACAGTCTATAATGTATCGATCAATTTATATGATATAAATTGTGATCCTGTTAGTAATGCCATTACTATTTCCGTCTCAAATGTTATGCAAACTTGTTCGACTTGCTAATCTGACAATGACAGCAGAAGATAAACACTAATTTGCATTTACGTGCACAAGAAACATCAATTAGTTTTAGGCAAATATAGTTCTTTGTTGTTATATAGTAAGTCTCAACTCTGTCACACAAGTTTGTACATTGAACAATTAGTTGACAAGTGAATGCATTTATTTATATGCACCTAAACATGTATACATGATCATAGATTAAATGAATTTAGCTTGATGAAGATAGAAAAGCAATTGTTTTTAAGTGAAAACATGCTCATGATATATTTTTCTCAGTAAGCATACTGTTTATTTTGAATATATACATTTTAATACCTTCAGTAAATTTTTATCATGAATACAGACAGGACGGGAAAAAAAGCAGCTGATCAAACGAATGTCAGTGTTGATTATCGGTTTTCTGTCATCTTTAAAGTTAAAATGTATGGCTTGATGTTCATAATGTAAGCAGTCAAAATAACTGCTGATTATTTAGATAACTAAATGTGACAAGTGATGATTTGAATTGACCATTGAATTCCAGTTCAATGGTATAGAGAATAAGCGCTCTTCTGAAGAGATCGAAAGTCCAGAGTTTTATACCGAATGAAGTTTCGGGTATAAGCGGTTTACAGAACTATCCAGTTCTGTCTGCTTTTCGATATCTTTTTCAAAAAAAAATTTTAGCATGAAATTCAACTACAGTGAAATTCCCATATTAGAAACCGTCACCCTATCAGAATTATTCGGCTTCACACTACTAGATACTTTGATCATCGGATCAATAAGTTTCAAAAATACATGAATATTTAACAAAGACACCGAATGTTAAAAAACTGATGTTGCAACAAGTTGTCAAATAACAAAATGAATTAAACATAATCAGTAATATGTATTGAAAGTGAAGAAAAAAAATTAATTCATTGATAATTGAAAATAGATGTGTATTTATTTAATGTTGGAAACTTGAGTTAATACATGTCGTGATCTACTCGTATTCGTTAAAATAAACTATATCAGAGTAAATATTTTAACAGTTTACAGACCTTCTTTTCATAAGTGGTGTAAATGAATACCATGAGAGTTTCAATGAAAAATCTAATAAACTGACTGTTTCTTTCCATGAACCTTTGAAATTAACCCTTTTAAATTTCATACTGTAAAACAATGCAGAGTTTGGACTGAAGAGATGAACTTATCATATATGTATGCTGTGGATATTCGCCAATTCAGATCGATGTTTTTGTTTAAGTACTGGTTCTAAAACAGTTTCAGTTAAATTTTAAATATTGTAGGATAACCTTTGGGATTTAAGTATAGTTTTTTTTGTATCATGTAGTTTTGCACTGATAAATTTAGTTCTGTAGTTATAAATTAACTTTGAAGTATTTATGAGGTTTGGACTTTTCAATATAATTTGTCACTGAGTTTGATTATTATTATTATTATTATAAACTAGAAACGGGTTAACACGTAAATCAAATTCAAATTTTAGGATATATACTAATAACTACATTCAGTAGCTAATCCAATAATTCCTAAACCCACTACGCATTGGAACACTACTAAACATTACGACAATAAGCAGCGCTGTTCATGGATACGATATCATCTTTCAGCTAACGTCCATTTCATCTTAAGTAAACAATTCCTGGGTCAGGAATAAATTCATATAGATGTGTTCTACGTTTTCATTCCAAAATAGGAGCATTATTTTCATCTAAATTTTAATAAAATTGATTGATATTTTATGAACCAAATCTATCATCAAACATCCTAACATAAGTTACACAAAACACTCAAAGTACAACAAACAATCATGCATTTGAAATGTTTATGCTTTGTCTAAATGTACGAACTGTTATTAATCAGTGTACTATTGTGGTGCGCAAGAATAAACGTATTCAACGTATTCTGATTTATAACCGTCAGGCGCTACTTATTGACGATTGCCTAGATGAGCGAATGACGAAGTTTACGGAACACTTTGGACATCAACCGTCACAAAACTAGTGATACATTGCGCACCACACTCTCTTTGTCGAATATACATTTTATGTTTTTTATCCTAAATAAACTCAACAATAAATCACATTTCTGGAGCAGTATAACGGAGCATATCATGTTAGATAGTGCAATTTAAATGCGAAATGCTCAGGTAATGCTAATAAAAAGCCTTAGTAGTAAAATATGCAAGACAAAAATTCAGAAAATCTTGTTAATCCCTGACAAGAAAAAATAAAACGTTTCTAAGGAATAAATATTAAACTACATGGTATTATTATAATATATTGATTGTTCTTACATTTTGCTCGTTTATGTGCAGTTAGTTAACATGGCCATTATGAGTGAGTAAAAAATATGACAAACTGAAGCTAGTGTAAAATGAACTATTTTTTATAATAATCATTGGTGATTTCCCTGGATTATTATGACCTTCAAAACTACTCAAGTTTATTACGCCACAATAAGAAATAAAAATTCTTAGCAAAAAAAAATAAATACAACTTATTATCGATAATCCTGATATATGCTTTTTATTTGCTTTTAATAATCCTCTAAAAACACTTAATTATTTATCTGTATTATTTTGTTGTGTCATAACTACTTAGTTTTTTTTAAGTAGTTTTTACTTGAGTATACATCATAAAGTTGGTTATTTTTCCATTTTGCAATTGCTTACTTCATAACTGCATCATAATTTGTGAAAAAAAACTATGTACTTAAATTAAGTTGAATAATGTATAGTTAATTTAGAATGGTAAAAGATATTTTTAATGTACTCATAATGTTTAATAATAATTTTTGCTTGCTAGTAATATGATAAAAAAAAACTAGCCATATCGAACTTACACAAACACGTGATATATAACAGAAGGCCATGTTTTTGGTCTTTCAAGGAAATTATAAATTTTCGCTTGAAGTTTTCGATATCTAGTCTCATTACGACTTATACGTATAGTGATGGTTTTCCCATGAAGTGATGTTCGTCTCTGTGTGCATTCCTGAGATGGTGGTGGCGTAAGAAAGTGTTTAAATTCCGTTGATGTATGACGTGAAAGGTTTTTGTGATCAGAATTACTACTATTATTATTATTATTATTGTTATATACATCAATATAGTTTGACTGATGACATATTTCTACATCTGGATCACAATGATAGGCATAATGCCCTGCATCAATATTGCTTGGTCCTCTTGATTTATTGTAGAGATCATGAGTAGTTACTGCTGTTTCACTGGTTGCACTACTACATCCAATAGGGTCATTGGTGTAAACTGCATGCTGATGTTTCATCTCAACATCAATTGGTTCGTCAACTTTTATTTCAAAAATGTTCTTTTTACGTTTTCGATCTTTACGAATATAATGATTACATGTGTCCATGAAAACTGGTGAACTGAATCGTGTATTCATAATGTTTCAGTTGTGAAGCAAGTTTTTGGATCAATATACTTTTCTTTACTAATCATTGAATTCAATGAATATTATGTCAAGTAATCCAAATATTTGCAAAAGTATTCCATTACTTGAAAATACGTTTTGAAAATGAATTATGAAGCTAAAGACAGAGATAATCCAAATAAGTAGGTTTTCATTGCAACGCTCGTATAAAAGAAAATATTTATTATTATTATTATTCTTCCATCGAGGTCATGTAATTAGAAAACAGTATCTTAAAAGTTTTAAAGGGAGAATAATACTAAAAACATGTTTTATAAACAAGTGATTGGTTGGCAAAAACAACCAATTAAAATTTTGTTTTAGCATTATTTTAATTGGATGGAAGGAGATCACTTTTCAGCGATCCCAAATGCTAAATTAAATAAATCTGCTAACAGTTGATCGTAACTCAGATTAATAATTAATAGAGAAATTTCATATGTATGTACATCAATTCATATTGCCATACCACATTAGCACAGAGATGTAATTGTCAATTCAAATTCCATAGTAGTAGAAGTAGTAGAACTATTAGCAGTAATCGCAGAGAGATTAGGGTTCGAAAATATTATTCACGAAGTAGAATCTGGTGAAATAAACTTGACAAGAAATAGATAAAGTGATGATGAATTCGAAAGGTTGGGATTTGAACAAAGAACACAAAGAATGAATGCACCGGCGCGATTGCAAACGGTTTAGAGCCATGTCATTCACGGCCTCTAACCATCAACCAGGTAATCGACAGCTACTGACAGGACATAGTCCACTTTTCAGTGACTACATGGATTTCTGCCATGTATTGGTCTGGCCGCCCCTAGCTTAAAAGATTACCAAAAGTTGAATGTTTTATTTTTTGAAAAATGAGTCATATTTCTTGAACGTAATAAACTGCAACAGTACAATGTTCAACGCTTAATTATCGGAAAGTAGAAGTAATGTCACAATCAGATCAAGTTCTTATCGTTTGCACACGTATTACTGAAGAAAATCAACTTTAGATCTGGATGTAATGGGTATTTGATAAGCAGTTCTAAATAGAATTAAATCAGACATTGGAGTAGGATTATACAGATACTTTGTATTTAACAAGCATCATTTCACCTGCTTCAAACCTCTATTAATCTGTAAAAAAAATTAAAAATATTCAGAATTCAAATCTTTTATAAATAATGCTTATAAGAATGTGAAGTGAATGTGCATCATCCGAGTGACGTAACAATCATTAATCTGTAACATTTTCCGATTTTCAGTATCATTTAGCTTACAGTTAAGAACTTGTTCTGGAACATGCATGATATAAGGAAAGAGTTATTTATGCGTTTCAAAAGCTAGACTGACAAAGTTAACCATAAAGAACAATTTTTTAGAGTAAGCACTGGTGCCTACTGTTTATACTACGTTTTAATAAAATCAAAATATCACTCTGTATTCAATCATTACGTGCAAACTAAGCTTTAGTATCATTTATTTTTAAAATACTTAAAAACTAAATGGTTTTACTTGACAGCGGTTTAAATAACTTGTAGCATTTTAGGTTAACATTTAAAGCGAAATTGGGACCATGAATTGAAATAACCTATAAATGAATGTTGCTTTCTTTAGTTAACGAATCTGTTTCGTAATAAAAGTAGACAGACGAGAAACATTGTTCAAAATATATTTAATTGTTTGAAAGTAATGTTAAACGATGAAAAAATCCGTTTTTAGTCATTATCAGTTTTTATTACATATTTGTCATTATGGATTTATGAAGATTAATGTTTTACTTTAGAATCATGAATAAATCACATACAGGTATCATTAATAGAAACCTGGAAGCACTGGACAGCCATTTCGTCCTAGTATGAAACTCCTCAGCACTGCGCGCCAACAACTCCCATGAGTGAGACCGAAGGTCCTGGATTCGATTTCTGCACACTGCCAAAGAGTTCCATAATAATACTAAACAGCCGTCCAGTGCTTCTAGGTTTCTAACATCCAAAATATGACGATTTCATGATAAGATTAGGAACGAAATTGCCAATAAACTATTTTGCAGTCAAAAATGTTTATACCTGATGGCCTTGGGATTAGTTCAGTGTTATACCGAATCGCTTCGGTTTGAACATGATAGCTTATAAGGACATAAAACAGATGTTTTAGTAATCCAAAAGACAACTGATAATCTATCAAGATAGTCCCAAAAACTAGACGAAAACAGACAATGTCAGTAATATATCCTCAGAATAATTAATACAAAATTCATACCAAGTCGCAGGCATAAGCAGCTTGACATAGACAACAATATTAAATGTTGGGGATAAATATGTCATTTTAGATTACTTAAAGTGTTTCATCAAATCAATAAAAGTCAGAGAAGCATATAATTTGATAAAAAAAAACTATTATTGATTTAGTTTCTTGCATTCGTGTATGAACGAAAATCGATTTTTTCTCTCAAGTATTTCAAAATAAACTGTAAACAAGTCATTGATAAAACTGTCGATTTCTTAGAAAAGTGAAATATTCCGTAAAAATTTTTTGGCCTCACGAATGATAAAAAAATACATGAACATGGTCATATTATGAAAACACATTATGTTACGACTAGGATTTTGGTAAAGTTTTATTCACTGAGCTGTGTAAAACAGAATTTTTAAAATTTCACCCTTTTAAAAAAACGGCGTCAAATTTACGAATCATAAAATATTTAATATCAGGAATATGTACATTTTAGTAAATGATAGTTATTCCCTGGTTTTTTACTCTTGTTTTGTATTTCTCCCGACAAGATTACTAACATGGACTTCATGGAGAAGCAAATATGGACACGAATCTGTTCTGTTGTCATACCGTATGACTGATCATGGTCAGCAATCGTGCTATCAATGATTAGGCATCAATCCTATTGATTCCTAAAAGGAATCTCCTGTAATATTTATATAAGTGTCATTTACGGGTGTGTATTGTTGAAGAACTGCAAAATTAAACAAATAATTAGATTGTGCTATTGATTGTGAAATATATCTTAGTTGCTGAAATAACAGACTTAACCAAACAATCACATAACTACAAATCTACATTGATTTACATAAAGTTTGTATTTAGGATTTTGATGGTATTTCACTGACTGTCTAGGTGTTTTTCAATTTTAATCAGTAAAATCTAGTATTCTAAAGACCAACTGTTATTTGAATAAAAGTGTGACAACATTTTTAAAGCATCTACAAATACTAGTCATTTGTCTTGGTCATTAAGTATCATTAATTTGACAAGTAAATGAATCGATTCTATGGTAGACAATGAGCAGATTTCAACCATCAGAAATTTAATTGAGCTTATTTACATGAGTTTTTTTTCTTTTGCAGATTACACCATTGAACACCATGAACCATCTTCCTAAATATTATCTGGTTCAAAGGTTAGGCGTTCACGCTCAAGACCGAAAGTCCTGGGTTCGAATCCTGCAAGATGCAGGATTCGTGGGTGTGCACTGCTGATGAGTGCCACACCTGGAAGAAACAACAATCCACTGCCTCCATGTTTCTAATGGTTGTATAACAATAACTGATTGATGATTTCAATATTTGAATAATATCAGAAACACATGAAACGAGTTCACATCCTATTTTTGTAGTATGAAGCCTAGATCAGGTCAGAAATCAAACGATAACACTTATCTTAAAGGATTCATCTATTTATTATTACGTTTTGTTACCAATGCACACTGACGATAAGTCAGATTTTAGAATATAACATTTATTCATCACCGTTTGGGATTTCTATTGATTTCCTCAGTTGACATTATAATTAACTTTAAGGCAAATTGAGAAACAAATTACTTCTGACTGAATTAGCATCACAATAAATGAATCAGACAATTTAAACTATGAAAGGTCAAACATATATATATATATATATATATATATATATATCAAACGAGAAACAAATGTGAATTCATTATACTTTATACAAAAAAAGTTTCTCAATGAATCAATGAAACAGAAGAAGAACAGGAAGAAAGTTCAATTCGTTAAGCGTACTTAATCATATTTGTTGAAATTCAAATTCAGTTGAAAAATTTAACACAGCTGAGTTGGCTTTTATTTTTTTATTTTGATTACAACTAACTAACCAACTGATTTATTTCAGTATAAGTTAAAAAAAAAAGTTTTTATTTTTTCGATTTACTGCTCTCAATCGTAATAAATCCCCATTAAAAAAAAAATTTGTTATTCAAAGGTCATGTAATCAAAGTCAATTTCTTCTTTTTTCGAAGGAAGTTGATTTTGTGCATAAGAAAAAAAAGTCAACAAATAAATTGGTCGGTTGACAATTTTTTTAAATTGATTTTCTGAAAATCTTTTCTTATTCTGAAATAATTCATGATGAATGAAGTGCTCTCTGTTTAATTGAATAATCAAAAACATTTTATCCCATCGTTATCAAAGTTAAAAGGTCAATTGTAGATGGATGTCATCATGATGATTTATTGGTTGACTGAAATCTTATTCAATTCTTTCTATATATATATTTTTTTTTTTTCAGTATTGAAGTATATTTGCGTCATAAATGTGAAGATGTATTCTTTCAACGTTTTTTGTTTTGTTGTCATCTTTGTTTATTATAGGTTGTTGAGTTATTTTAGGTGTTATATATAGGTGTTATGGTGGTGTTTCGTTCTCTGAGCTGGTTGTTTTGGTTGTGGAGCTGTCATTGTTCTTCTGAACAACATCATCAGCACAAACTTCAGGTCAATTAGCAATCAACAAGCACATCGACATTGACCCGATTTATCAACCAATCAGGAAAATCATAGGTGACACAGGATCAAGAAACAGGATCAAAGGTCAACAGCAACCAATCAAGATCGAGGTTAACAGAACAAGCTACAGGCCAAACGTGGAGAAATTCGAATGCTTCACTTCTATCTGAAGTTTGTGCTGATGATGTTGTTCAGAAGAACAATAAAAGCTCCACAACCAAAACAACCAGCTCAGAGAATGAAACACCACCACAATCATCCACGTGAGCTACATGTTTTCTCCACCACCTCATATAAGTGTTATCTATATATGGCTCTATGTTTTTCTTTTCTCAA